GCCAGGGCCCATAATCTTGTTTTTTAAATGAGGTTAGAAAGGGTTATCTTTTGCTACCCTAGTACACATATTTGTTACCTTTAAGAAAGCTACAAGCTCTGAATACTATATTTCCAAAACAGTCCCATATTAATCAGCTTTTTTTCTAGCACAAAGAGTGCTAGAACAATCAAAATTAATAAGATTACTATTCCTACTGTACAGGATATAGCTGAGGATCTGCGAACAGTTGTTAGAAGAGAATTACAAGTCTGAATTCTTCTCATATCTAAGAAACACAAAAGATATGATCCTGACATTCATAATTTTATATTCTAATACAGGAAATATGGAGAAATAGGTTAAATAATCTGACATATACCTCTAACCCAATGAAGAAGGTATAATTAAACAAGTATTCTGGTGTAATACCAGAGCAAAGCCAAGCGACAAAGAAGATTAAAAAAATAAAATAAAAAATTGAAAAAGCTGATCTCAGATATAAAATACTTTAAAATATGAACTGATTTGAGCTGTAAACTAAAAACAAACAAACAAACACACACACACCCAGGAAAAAAGCCTAGCGAGCCAATGAAAGGTGTGTAGGGGGACAGAGAGTGGTGGCTCTTTCCTACTCTTCTTTTAGCAGGTACAAGCATCCTGCCTCTGTACTAAACTATTCCTGTCCTGTGGCTCCACGTGTCCAACAGTCAGCTTCATTCTCTGGGATTCTTTTTGCCATTTCTAGCAGTGAGAAGTTGTTTTACCTGCAAATAATACAAACCTTGATTTCTGTTACAGGTTATTTTTTCCTGAAGTAATAGGCAGTACTGGGAAAGGGTGAGATTTAGGTTTGATCAGTGGCACGATAAAACAATTATGCAGTTGACCACGTCAGAGTCATTCAAAAGCCTAGTTTCCTGAAGTTATAAGGTAACTCTCAGGTTTTTAAATTAGGGCCACCAACTTCTAGATCAGGAGTGGGGAACCCTTTTTCTGTCAAGGGCCATTTGGATATTTATAACATCATTTGCAGTCATTACAAAATTAACTTAAAAATTAGCCTTCTATATTTGGTCAGGCTAATTTGGTGAGGCATGTGATATTAATTGGGATTGATTTCATGGGCCTTATATGGCCTGCAGACTAGACATTCCCTACCCCTGTTCTAGATGAACAGGAAGAGAACCTCTTCCTCACCAAAGAACCAAGTCCTTCCCTCAGTCCGATTAGGTCCAACTTAAGTCATGCCCATCCCAAAAAGTAAGTTGCCCAGGAAATGTCTTACACCAACTGGTGTAGATGAGTCAAGACTAACTTCTGGAAGTGGGAATGGAGTACACTTCCTCAATCACATGAACTGTGGGAAAGAAAGTTTCTTGAATAAAATGAGAGTTCTGGTACAAGATAAGAAGGAAATCCATGTGCAGCAGGACATCAATAGAATGCATCACACTTCTCTCCCATTCTGCACTGACTCGGTATGTAGTGCTAAATGCTCTGGTTGATTGCTAATGGTATTCTTTACTGACCCGTAACACTACTTATACTTTTAGGGTAAGTGACTGCTGCTGTGAGGAAATGGATAATTAAAGATGAAGTTAAAGATGCTAAAGAAATTTCCTAGCTGGACTCAGGACCATTATGTTGACCTACAATTATGCACCTAGGTACTTTGTCCAATGTAGCACAGGAAAAAACTGAACAATTCAGGCACAGAAGGTGTCTGATTTTCTGGCCTTATGAACACTCACTAAATAGTGTCTGCTACCCTACTGAATAAAAAGCCAACAGGATTATCGAAATAAGCTTCTAGAAAGTGGCCAGACCATTACACCGTGAAGATACTCAACACAATAGGATAGGGCTGTTTGGTTAAGGCAGTAAACAATTCAAGTAACAGATCAAGGAAACTCTAAAACGGAAAACAGAACAAATCTTTGAAGGATTCAATTAAGTACACTGTTTATGGGTCACCATGCATTCCATTGCTCCATACTGTCTTTAGCAGTAAAACCCTAAATTTCTCCAGATGGGGTTATCTAAAAAAGAGCTTTCACTCATTCCATGAGAATGGAAATGGATGTTTTTACAAGTTTGAGTACAAGGAAGAAAAAAGGATACCTGTCAATATCTGATCCTGTCTAACTTGTAGGCAAAAAAAAAAAAAAGGAAGAAAGGAGGGCCCTGGCCAGTGGCTCAGTTGATTGGAGCATAATCCTGTACACCAAAAGGTTGCAGGTTCAATTCCTGGTTAGGGAACATACCTAAGTTGCAGGTTCCATTAATGGTTGGGGTGCATGTGGGAGGCAACAGATCGATGTTTCTCTCTCACATCAATAAAACCATATAGTTATGTGAGGCTTAAAAAAAGAAAGAAGGAGAACAAAGCTTTATCAAGACGATAAAAGATTCACTTGCACATTATTAAAATTCTTAAAGGGTCTGCTGATTTTGAAAAATTTGTAAAAAGCACAGGTTCAAGTTGCTTGCATGCACCAGCTTAATTTGGTTGAACATTCTTTTTAATACTGGAAATAATATTACTAATTACTCTTTTTTTGAGAGAGTGGAAGGGAGGGGGAGAGGGAGAGGAAAACATTGATGTGAGAGAGACATATCTATTGGTTGCCTCCTGCATGCCCCTCCCACATTCCCCCTGACAAGGGATGGGATCAAACCTGCAACCCAGGTACGTACCCTTGACCAGGAATTGAACCTGCAACACTTTGGTGTGCAGACTGATACTCTAACCACTGAGCCACATTGGCCAGGGCTAATAGTTACTCTTAATGGGTTGCTGTGAAGGATTAAACCGTATGTATATACGGATATGGATATGATCATGTATGTATATGTGTGTGTTTCAAGATTACTGTTTCACATATAGCTGGCAGTCAATAAATGTTACATTTCTTCCCCCTTCTCCCAACCTGGACACCAAACTAAATAATATCACACCTAAGCTGGCTTGCACACATTCCTTAGTTAAGGGATCAGGAGGCCAAAGACAGTTTTGTGTCTGTAAACTGTGGAGTGCTCTGTTCCAAAACAAAACTGGTTTTCACTTTAGCAGTGTGGACTTGGGAGGACCGTGTTTTTGAGGGGAGCCTCAGATTCACAATGAGGGCAGCAGTCAGAGGAACACACTTACAGAGCAAAAGGACGACTGGGTCATGAGAGAGCAGCAAGGCCATCATTTCCTCAAACTTTGGCTTTCTGAGTGTGTAATAAGTAGAAACATATATCGAAGTAACAAGCTCACTTGTAAAGAGGTTATTTTGTATATCTACATTAATAACTTGAGGTTGCTTTTATAAATAAAAACTAAGCAAATGCTACTTTTATTATTCTAAGTTTCCTATGAATAAATTACTACAATTAAATTCTACTTAGTTTTTTGACAGCCTCCATCTTTCAATTTGGTTCCCATATTTTATACTTGGTTGTTCTTTCAGAACATATCATGGACGGTTTTAATATATCTATTGACACATACTGCTCCCACATTTCCACAATTAATCCTGAAATTACTCCATTTCCACCTCCAGAAGGTCTGAAATATTTTCCATTGACATTTCATAGAAAGAGAGCTGTCTCAATTTGCAATGGATTACTAAAAAAAGAGCTAGCACATTATACAGACAATCATAACAGCTGAGACAAGAAAATAACCTATATTCTCTAAAACCCATTTGCATCATCAGATCATTAGGTATAAGCACTTCTAAGGCATGGGGGGAATTAGCACTTCATAGCTGCAAGCATGAAATGCCACTTTCTATAATCATCTTTATTTCCTCCATCTCACTTAAGGATTTTAGAGCAAAAAGGATCAGAAACATTCTTTTTGGCCCATATCCTTTTGAGTCATTTTTTTTCTCCTGACATTCTCTTATTACTCCAGAATTCTTTTTTTTTTTTTTTTTTTTTAAAGAAATAGGTTGAATTTTTACCCCTTTGAACTGTCTCACTGAATACGTTAAAAATCACTTCCTGACTGAAGTGAATTTTCACTTATTTTTCAATTTTTCAGTCTGTGAGGAACACCATATTCTTCAAATTATTTTAGTTAGAATATTATATTTTAGCTTTGCCTAGAGTTAGAATTTCAGATGGCTTAAAGGCATTTTTAATTTTAAAAAAAATAGTGGCCTGTGAAGTATGCTTAACCTTTTGAAAGAGAGGTGCTTTTCAGTGAAATGCCCTCAAATCTTCACATTCCTTTAGTGTCTAGACTTAAACAATTTCAGAGAAACTTTCTATTGAAATTTAAATTAACAGGGGTTCCAAACACTTTCAATGTAATGGTCTAATCCAGACAGTCCACCATTTAAATTTCCACAGGAGTTTGGGCTTTACATAAAGTTGTGAATCTGGACACAACTTGGTAATTTGTTTGAAGTTAATTTATGTATGCTAGATTTTATGAAGCAGAATACAATAAAAATATTGTTTACTTAAAAAACAAAAAGACTTAGACCAAAATACTGTTAGATCACTTCTGCTTTCACTCAAGTGGTAACTCTGAGGCAGAATTTCTCAACCTCAGCATTTGGGGCTAGATCATTCTAGGGGCGTTAACTGGGCTGACTAGGATATTTAGCAGCATCCCTAGCCTCTACCCACCAGATGTGAACAGCAGCCCTGCCTCACCTTTCCCACTTCCCACTCCTTCTGACAATCAAAATATGTCTCCAAACAAGGGAGGGTGGTGGTAAGGTCGGAGGGAAGCAAAATGTCTCCAATTGAGAACTGCTACTCTGAGGCATCCTATTTTGTGCATCATTAAAACCTAATATCCTACAAAAATCCTCCTTTTTTTATTTTACAAAGAAGGCATATAATGTAGAATAAAATCAAGTGGAACCAAAACATTCTGACAGGGAAGTATATTTTAAAATATAATCAAATTGAGATTATAATTATTGACCACTCACTTTCTGTGCAGCAAGGTCTGATTTCATCTGAACCTCAGCTAATTTCAAAGTCATTTCTCTGTAAAGGGCACCACTCACTTTTAGGTCCGTCCCCAATGTTTGCTTTTCTCTCTGAAGTTCTTCTCTGATGGAATGGATGTTTTCTTTTCTGTCTGATAAAGCAGGCAGAACACCACTACTCTTTTCTTTGCTTGCTTCACACCTCTGAACCAAGTTGTTTTCAACCTTAACTAAGGCAGAAGAAAGAGAACCAATGATAACCAATTCCTTCTCCAAATTCAATGCCAAATGATCACTTAGGAAATCCTCACTTCCTGATTTTAGATTTTTGAAGAAACAGTTTATAGGGAGAACTCTGGTGAGGTTATGAAGGCACTGGAACAAAACTGTTCGATTCCTGGAATAAAAAACAAACAAACAAACACAGTATTACAAAACTCAGGATAGCACAAAGTGGTTGTGTACAACATATTACAGTAATCAATTAATATTCATGTATAAATACTCTAGCAATGAATAGAACCAATAATGCATGCATGTGATCATTGATAATATTCAGACTGTAGCAACAAAAAATACATATCCTCGCCCAGCCAGTGTGGCTCAGTGGATTGTCATCCCATGGACTGAGAGGTCCCTGTTAGATTCCTAGTCAGGGCACATGCCCGGATTGTGGGCTCCATCCACAAGAGGGGTCATGCAGGAGACAGCCAATCAATGTTTCTCTCTCACATCGATGTTTCTATATCTCTCTCCCTTCCTCTCTCTCTAAACAAACCAATAAAAACATATTAAAAAATACACATCCTCCACCAAGTCAGCTAATACTCATGAGGCTGTTTCCTAATTAATTTTTTTCTCTGAGTAATAAGATCAATATTGTATTTTAAAATTTTCACTGTGTGGGAGAACTAAGAGAAAAATCTTAAAATAATTATTAGGCCTTATTCAACCAAAAATTTTTAAAAAGCCAAAAACAAACATAAAACTAAAACAGCTCAGTTTTTTTTATTTTGTTTTAATATGCACCCGAGGATGTTTTTCCATTTTTGTTCAGATAGAATAGGAGGGAGGGAGGGAGAGAAAGGGAGAGAGGGAGAGAGAGGGAGAAACATAGATGTGAGAGAGACACATAGCTTGGTGGTCTCCCGCACGACCCCAATCAGGGCCAGAACGAACCGCAACTGAGGTACATGCCCTTGACCGGAATCGAACCTTCGACTCATTGGTCCATGGGCAGATGCTCCAACTGTTGAACCAAAGCAGCCAGGGCAAAACAGCTCAGTTTTTAAATGAGGCCACCTATCCATTCATGTTATACTGGGCAAGGCCTGGGCATGTCCCACAATGTCACAGAACTCCACCTTAGGGATTGCTGTTGGACCACACATTCACCACAGTAACTTTGGTGGACCAATTCCAATTTGATGTGTATTACCTGGAATAGACTATCAAAATCCCTTCAAATGGTGTCCTTTGTTTCCAGTGGAAGAATGTCCCATACAAACTTTCTGGCCCTTTACAAAAGCAAATTTCTGGAAATTCTTTGACTACTTCACATTTCATGTGTTCTAAGAGCCATGTCTTCATTGAAGTCAGGGCATATCTGGGTGATGTGATTTGGAAACAAGTTTTGTGCAATGCTGCAAGAAGTGCAAAGAGATCTTCCATGTGTTCTACAAAAACAAAAAAATATGTTTCAAGTTCTGTCATTAAACTCCATTATCAAATAAAGAGTTCTTAGAATTTTCTGATTCAATTAGGTATATGATGTAAAAGTACCAAGAAAAATTACCTATAGGTTTCTTTGGAAACGTCGTTAGGTATTTCCCACTTGAAAAATCTTCTAGACTTAAAGAAAGTCTGCCACATGGAAAAAAATGATGTTTAGAACAGTTACCATTTTCTTTCTCCCTAATTTGTAGTAGCACAATGCAACAAAACTGACTGAATGCTAAAAGTGGTGAAAGAGATGTTACAGCAGTAATTATCTGTACACCCTCTTTCTCAGATGGTTGTCCACAAACAAAGCTCTTCTCTTCTTCTTCCTCCTTCTCACTATCAACAGTCAACTTGATCCTTTTTGCCTCTGATCCTATTTCATATGGCACTGAGCATAGTGCTGGAAAAGAGTCCCTACTCAACTTGATCACCCTATTTTGACACTTAATAAGCCGAAAGCTGGAGCTATGGGGTTCATCCATTAACAACGATAGAGTCACCTGATTCAGAGACCTGTAAAACATCCAGAGTTTGGTTTAGTCTAAACATTTATTCTTCAAAATCGAATAGAGGAGTAAATGCCATACAAATAACAACAAAAAATTTTACTGTCTCCTTTCCTAGGAAACATCATTGCAAATGTAAAATGTATCAGAAAATTAAGCGTAAAAGCTAAATACATTTTTTTAAAATCCTGTAATAACACTTCTCTTAAAATAAGAAAGCAAAAACATTGTAAATATGCTGAACTTTAGGAAAGTAATTTTTTGGTAAGGGAAAGAAATGGTAAATTAATGCCTGATTTTTATTTTTGAAGTAGTCCCCCCTCCCCCTGCTCTTTTCTTTAAACAAGAAAACATTACTCATTTTTAAAGTCTTCAGTTTGGAATGCAAATACTTCTAAAATAAAAACTGCATTTTATACTCTAAGTTACTTAAATTAAATCTGATTTTTAATACAGAATAGTGTTTATCCTTCAGCAATGGTGATTTTTGGGATATAATATTATTAAAATCAATTTCACCTGTTTACACTTAAACATTTTTAATACGGCTACTAGAACATTGAAAATTACATATGTGGCTTACATTATATTTCTGTTGGGTAGTGTTATTCTAGAGCATCAAGATAATGGTATCATGTTAGAATTTACTTACAGCTTCAAAGAAGATGTGGTTTTCACTCCAACAACCAAGCTATCATCTATTAGACGATACCATATCTTCTCTACTAGCTGTTCTGAATCTTGAGAATTGCCTGATACATTTTCATCACAAGTATGAGCAGGATTTTCTTCTTCACCACAAAGAGTAACAAGACAGTCCTTATAGAAAAACATGTTAAAGTAAGTAACTTTTGGCCAGCCTTAAGGCTTACATATTTTAAAATAAATTATATATAATTAACTATTTACTCATATCAAGAAGCGTGGTCTGATTGGACACAAGACAGGGTATCCAACACAGCACGGATGTAAACCTGGAGCCCATTTTAAAAATAATCTGACAATATGTAACCCAGGCATGCTGAAAACAATCCAATCTTTATTTTATCAGTGATTTACATTAAATCTATAACTATAAACTTTTGTATGAATAAAACTGAGTAAACTATTTTTGGACTGCTGATTGATTATTGCTAAAATTTTATTTTTCAAGTCCAAGCCATACTCACTCATTTCCACACACATATGGATTGTTTATTTATTTAATCTTCACTCGAGGACATTTTTCCATCTTTTGTTCAGATAGAGTGGGAGGGAGAGAGAGAGAGAAACACCGATGTGAGAGGGACACATCGAGAGGTTGCCTCCCGCATGACCCCAACCAGGGCCGGGGAAAAATTGCAACCGAGGTACGTGTCCTTGACCAGAATTGAACCTGCAACTCATTGGTCTGTGGGCTGATGCTCCAACCGCAGAGCCAAAATGGTCAAGGCCACATATGGATTTTAATAACAATAGAAATAGTAGGAGGAAGAGGAAGACTAGGAGTAGTAATGATAATCATAATATACAACACTTACTGAATACTTACTGTAGGCCAGGCACTGTTCTAATGCTATTTCTGTATTAATTTATTTAACCTTCATAATAACCCTAGTACCCTAGGCCCATAGTATTATTATCTACATTTCCCATATTTTAAGAAAATGAGGTTCGGGGAGGTCAAGTACCTTGCCCCAGGTCACACAGTCAGCAAGGGGCACAGCTGGGATTTGAACCAAAGCAAAGTGGTTCCAGAGACCATGCTCTATCTTAACTATTAATCTATATTACCCCTCTATGAGGCAAATACTGAAAAACAATATGGGCACTTCCACTAGCATGAACTACACATGTTCCTAGGAATCTAACTGCCAGTAGCAGTGAGATGGAGGCAGACAATTCATCCAAAAGATGCAGAAATGTTTACTACCTACCAGGACTGCTATTCAAATTAACCATGTAAAGGGCAAAAGCACAAACAGTGGTTTCAATGCATTAACTCGTAAACGTTTCTTCCCCTTTTCTAGTACTGGCAAAATTGTTGGGGTGAGTTAAGGAAGGAAAATGGGGAGACTTTTAACAATGACTTTCGTGAAGTTTCTCAAGAAATTAGAAGAGTGATATAGAAATGTAACATGATAGGTTTTTGCTATGTGTCTTATACTCACAGAATCATATTTTGGACCCAAACCCTCATATTGCTAGCACTGAAACACAGACACAAGGCACAGGCCATTATAAGAATTGTCAACTTTGAAGAGGTTCAGACCAAAAGCACTAAAGTGACCGGAGGGAATAAAATGCACTGTCAAGTTCCTCACTGCCCAGATTTCTTGATTTATTTGTAACTGTGCTATCCTGTCTTTCTCTGCATGGAGTAATGTGCATAAATACTATTTCTATGAAGTCACAGCAGTTTTTGCTAATTTTCTACATTGCTCTACAGGCATAAATAATTGCAAGGTACCTGAAGAGGTTCTTATGATGGTCAACGACAAGGAAAATGACAGTAAAATGATAAAAAGCAGACATAAGGGCTAAAAAAATCAAAGCAATTTAGAAACATTAACTAGAGAAATAAACATCCTTAAAAATGAACCATGCAAGAGACTAAAAGAACAACTATTACGCTAATGATGAAATTGTGTCATTAAAACAAGGTTAAATAATGTTCAGTAATTCTGTTTAAGAAGTCAGAAAATATATAATTCACTTAGGTGTAATTTCTATTCAAACTATACAAGTAACAAAAGTTTAGTTAAATTTTCTTTAAACATAAGGACTTATTCCTCAAGGTTCCTAATAACTGAGATTTTAATATTCTACCAAGTAAGAATAATTTGCAAATTGGTAAAATACTGGCTTCTTAATCACACATATTTTTCAATGTCATAAAAGCCCATTGATAATTCCTGCCACTTTGCCTCTTGATCCATTTAGCATTTCTAGTATATTCTAATTTCTAAGTTAAGTAACTCTTTTTCTGTAACAGTGTCAAAAATAAAAACAAAGTTAAACAAATAAATAACTCTTTAATAGGTTTTAATTCACAAAATGATAAAGTGGTCACATGATTTATTTTACCTCTTCTGCAATTGATGTACTATCTTCTTTTCCCTGAAGCAGGTTCATTAAAGCTTTGTAAGATTTTAAAATAATTTTTTCCTTCAGCAAAAGGTGCTTCTGTACTTCCTGAATAGATGCCAAACCAACCTGTAAAGTAGAAAGAAAAATCATTGCCAGAGACATAGTTTCAAATGAACACTGACATACCATTAATTCAGGAAGTGCTCTCCCCAAATCTGCTTATTAATTCATTTTTCTGTAGAAAAGGAGAGACTACTTCTCAGACCAAAACTATTTTACTTGTAAATTTTAAGTATTTAATTACAAAAAAAATACAGCAAGTAACTGCAATAGATTGTATGTATCAAATTGAGAGTATGCCAATTAGCATTCATTTCACTATTGAGTTTAGTAATCAATCAATATGAATATGAGTAAATCCAATTAATATGAATAAATATCAAAGCCTACTAACACTCCTATCCCCACAAGGAAACTGTTTTTCTTGTTGAAATAATTTCAGTTTCAAAAAGCAAAAGACATCATTATAAATAGAAATAGTCACTTTTAATTTGATACTATTTAAAATTCTGTTCATATAACCTTTATAAAAAAAATGTAAAATTAACACATTAGCAGCCTCCAAACTGTCACTTGTTTACTTTTATGCTAATAAACTCAGTAGTATGATTGACTCTTCACTACCAGGGGTAAAAATTGACTCTGAAATGGTCATAGAGCAATCCATTCCTTTTATTGTACGAGATAAATAGATTTCAGCAGGAAGGATGAAACATTCATAAAATACATTTTGTTACTGAAAATTTAGTCATGTCATTGAACTGATAGAAACTGTTTCATTTCAGATGGATATCTGAGACTGTTTAAGTATTAATCCAGTTTTTATTATAAATGTTTTTCTAGATTAACAAAACATAATGCATTGTTTTAAATTTCTTTCGTTTTTTTTATTTTATCTTTATTGTTAAAAGTATTGCAGATGTCCCTCCCTTTTTCCCCCATTGACTCCCTCCTCCCCACTCCCAACCCCCTCCTGCTTTTCCCACACTATTGTCTGTGTCCATTGGTTGTGCATGTATGCATATAAATTATTTGGTTTATCTCTTACCAAACCCCCACCCTCCCATTCCTCTGAGGTTTGTCAGTCTGTTCCATACTTTCATGTCTCTGGATCTATTTTGATCTACCACTTATTCTGTTCCTGCTATTCCATAAATAAGTGAGATCATGTGGTATTTGTCTTTCTCTGATTGGCTTATTTCGCTCAGCATAATGCTCTCCAGGTCCCTCCATGTCATCTCAAAGGGTAAGAGATCTTTCTTACAGCTGCATAGCATTCCATTGTGTAAATATACCACAGCTTTTTTTGTCTTGTAAATTACATTTTAAGGCAGGTACATTCCTTTTGTTTATCAATGAACGAAAGTTGGAGAGTGCACATTGGATCATATTTTACTTCATTGCACAAAGTATGTAAAGTGTCTAGCCAATATTTCATTTTATTTTTCCAATTTTTATTAATTTTTTTTGTTACAGATGTTTCTCCTTTCCCCCCACAGACACCCTCCTCCCCATCCCAACCCACAACGCCCGAAACATTGTTGTCTATGTCCACTGGTTATGCATACATGCACATAAGTTCTTTGGTTCATCTCATCCAACCCCTCCGCCCCTCTGCTCTGAGGTTTGTCAGTCTGAACCATACTCCTTTCTATGTCTCTGGGTCTATTTTGTGTCTAGCTAATATTTTAAAACTTCGTCTATTGACCTAGTTCTGTGAGCTCCACATCATTCACACTCCATCTCTCATTTGCTGAGTAATTTGTAATTCAGAGAAAGGGAGATGTACCCATCAGAGGTGCAGCAAATCTGAGACTGCTGGAGGGGAAGAGAGTGAAGACAGGAATATGAGGGTAGACAGGAATAAGGGTCTCCTCAGAAATGGTTCTGTTCTCTCTTCCCTCCTCCCCTCAACATGCCCCTGCTCCAGGACTAAATGGTAGATCACTAGACCACTCAAATACTCAGTTGCAAAGTTTTGTTATAAAACTATGAAAATAAGCATATGGTAAGAAATTTAAATAACATAAAAGAACCATCTCACCTTCCTTTCTTACACCCTTAATCCCATTTGGGCAGACAAAAGACTGCTTACCTTTGCAGACTGCTTACTTTTCCCAAGTAGTATATGTTAAGGAATGCCTTCCTTCTTGTCCCAATAATCAAACTAACAAAACCCACCCACAACCAAATATAGCAGCATACTACACTGCATGATAGTGAACCTTGCTTTTTGTTCTTTTTACTGTGCTCTTTCTCGTGCATGCAGAACAGTGCATAATACAAACAGTTTACAGACTAATAATGAAGTCGACACCCATGTAACTACACCCAAGTCAAAAAGCAGCACTCCAGGAGCTGCCCGTGGACCCTCCCCAAGCACGAACCTCTCTTTCTCCACTGGAGGTAACATTACCCTGACCTTTAAGATAATTTTCTTGTTTGTCTTCATAAGTTTACCATCATTGCATCAATTTCTAAAGAACATTTTTCATTTTTTTTGTGTGTTTTGCTTCTGAGCATATTATAAGTGAAATCATTCTGTATGCAGTATTAGGTTTTAGAGCCATCCATTTGTCACCAGTAGCTTTGGTTCATGCCTTTCATTACTCTATGATATCCTTGCATATGGCTATATCAGCTTACTTCTCTAGTCTGATGGACATCTGGGTTACGTCCAGGTGTGGAGTATTACAAACAATATTGCTGTGAACGTTCCTGTACATGTGCACCAGTTTCCCCAAAGTTCTGCTCTCCCCAATTCCCCTCCAACAACTGGTGGGAAAACGACTTTCACAGAGGAAAGAACAGTGAAATGGACTCTAGACTCTAGTTCACACTTGGCAAATTACTTAATCTTTCTGCCTCTCCATTTGTTACCTCATATGGAAAATGGAGGAGAGGGTAGATTTGTTCAGATCTAGAAGGCCTTCCAACACTTGGAAATGTTTATAACCACATTTAGAGCTAGTGATAACATATAGACACCCGAGGCTAAAAGGAACCCAACTATCTCGTATTCCCCACTTCCGTATGTCCCTGACTTCCCTTTCTGTTTCATATTTTCCTTCTTTTCCTCTGCACTACCTTCTGAATAATTTTTCTAACATAGTCTGATTTGCTAATTTGTTCTGCATGTCTTTGAGTCAACTGTTAAACTCATTTGTTAGGTTTTTTATTTCAATGTATTTTTAGTTTCTACAAATGCTATTTGGTTATTTTATGTGAATAAATAATTCCTTGTTTCCTTATGTACTCAGTTATTTTGTGGGTGGCTCATCTTCTCTGAACAATTACTTGTGAGATTGAGATTGATACAAGGCCTAGAATAAACTTGTGTTTGGAGAGAGAAACATCAATGGTTGCCCCAACCTGGGATCAAACCCGCAACCTAGGTATGTATGTGCCCTCGCCAGGAATGAACTTACAACACTCCAACCAACTGAACCACCTGGCGGGGGCTGGAGAGAGTGTTTTATGTTTGTTTCTGCCAGGTGCATAGGGCACTACTGCTTCAGGTTAAATACACATGCCCTGGGGGAAAAGCAGTATCAGCGTTCTGCTTATCTCCCTGCATTCCACTCTTCAGAGTTTGGCTGGAGACTTTATTTTTATCTTTTCAGCTTTTTGAAGCCTTTAAAAAAATATTTCAGTTATCATTTTAAGTTGCTTTATCAGGAGAGTAGATCCAAATAAGTTAGGTAACATATTACCAAAAATGGAATTTCTGAAAATCATGCTCTCATAAATTAAATTAAATTATTTTGGCATCATTTCTAAATCAGTGTAAAGAGTTACCTTATTGTTTTGACAACTGCATAGTATTCTACGGTTCAGGTATATATTCATTTATTTACCGTACTCCTAGTGATGGATATTTTGATTCTAATTTTATTATTTATAAATACTACATAAACATTCCTATAAAATCATCATTGCTTACATGGGCAAGTATATCCTCAGAATAGATTTCTAGAAGTGATACTACAAGAGTAAAGAAATATGTATTCTAGTAGCTAGAACAACTTTCCCTCTGAAGGGGTTGGACCACTCACTTTATATTCTCAACAATATTGTTTCTGAATATGTATATTTAAAAATTTAATCCTCTGTCATGTGTTAAATTTCTTTTTCCAGAATTTGTCTTTATTTGTTTTCCTTTGTTCAGAGTACAGAAGTTTTAAATGTAATCAATCTTTTCCTTTATGATTCTATGTCCACTATGATATTTTATTTATCTAATGTTCACATTCATATCTAGTATGTGTTCAGTAAGCACTCAGTGAATTCACTTTAATAGTTATAATAGTTCCAAATAATTTTAAAAGGGCCTGCAAAATATAAATATTTACTATCTAGCCTTTTACATAAAAGTTTGCCCGGGACAGAGGTAAATGTTAAATAAAATTATAAGGAAATAGACAAATCCAAAAGGAAAAATAACTTGCCTGGCCTCTCCATTAGTGCCATTTAAAAAATAAGGAAGGTGGGAATTATTCTAAATAAAAAGACCAGTAAGAGATATAATAATCAAACACAAGTGTAAACTTTGATTGGATCCTGAATAAAGTAACTATAAAAAACATTTTTTCCCTGGCCAGTATGGCTAAGCTGGTTGTAGCATCGTCCCATATACTGAAAGTCTTTAGGTTCAATTCCAGGTCAGGGCACATACCTAGATTATGGGTTTGATCCCCGGCTGGGGCACCAAAAGAAGGCAAGCAATTGATACTCTCTCACACACATCTTACTTTTTCTTTTTCTCTTTCTTTTTCTCCTTCCTTCCTTCCTTCCTTCCTTCCTTCCTTCCTTCCTTCCTTCCTTCCTTCCTCCCTCCCTCCCTCCCTCCCTCCCTCCTTCCTTCCTTCCTTCTTTCTCTCTCTATCTCTCTGTCTCTCTTTCTCTCTCTCTCTCTGAAATTAATAAGCATATCCTGTGAGGATTAAAAAAAACATTTTTGTGAAGTCAAAGACATCTGAATATGGACTGAACAGTAAATAAGATTAAGTGATTTGTATTAATTTTCTAAGTGTAATAATGGTATTTTGGTTACATAGGAGAATGTTCCTAATTTTAGGAGATTCCTGCTAACATAAGAGTGAAGCATTATAATACTTGCAACTTTCAAATGATTCTGCAAAAATGTATATGTACATGTACACAAGCACAAACAGATGAAGCAAATATGATTTTTTTGAAAAGGGACAACAGTTGAATTCATGTGGGAACTACAGAGATAATCACTATACTATTCTCTGAATTTCTCTATATATTTGAAAATTTTTACAAATGGAAAAGGGGAGGTTACAAAGGTACATCTTATAGTCATATTTCCATGTAAACTTGCATATATTCATTCAAAAAATCTTCAAGAACATACATGCCAAAGTGTTAAATTTGATTATAGCTCAGTAGCAGAATCAAAGGAAATTGTTAGTTTCTTTAATATTTCTTTTCACAGTCTGAGTATTTTATAGGGAATGTGGATTACCTTCAGACAATAGGAAAAATTCTTTTAGAGAGCTCCACATGGAAAACTTGAGGGTGAACTGTTCATATTTGGAACATGCTATGATTCATCATATTTGCTGCTCCTTTAAAAGAGATACCGTGGTACACTGATCCTATAGACCAGAAAGAATGTGTTTTGAAAGTGAGTTTCTTATATTTTCTCTTATTAGGCTTATAAAATTTACAAAATCTTACTACACAAAGGTGTTTTTAGAGGATACATTTATAAGTAATGTCATAATAGTTTTTACATAAGTACGGAAAAGGTAAAGATCCTTTAAATATCATGTTTTCCCAATCACTGAGTTGCTTATATTTTAAAGAACTTTCTTTCAATGTTCTTTTTCATTTAAAATAGCACTAATACAAAAACGCAAATGCAAAAAGGAAACATAGACACTAACTTTCACTCTTCTTTCCAGAGCTGGAATCACCAAATAACGATTATCTTCTAATACATCATCTTCATTGCAATCCAATGTTTGACTCTAAAAAAAACAAAAATACCAACACTGAAATTTTGAAATAAATTGAAAATTCGTAATATTAACAATATACAATTAAATATACAATTTATCCAGTCAAAGGTCAGTTTTCTATGTTAGATACTATTTCATAAAAGACAAAATATATAGTTCCTCCATCTTCTTATAACTAGAAAAAAGTATATTACCATTATTAGCATGAATGTAACAGTTGTATACTGCTTCAAAAAGTATCAGCTTACTAGATTTTTATTAAATCCTAAAATCCCTAACTAGAGAAAATAAGAATTAGCCTCATTTTACTAATGAAAAAAATCGAGGCTCAGAGGTATTTTATATAGATCTGAAACTTCAGGGTATTATTTTCCTTATGCCCCAAATCTTAAGTCATTATGAACCGTTGCTTGTTTGAATAAGGCCGTTTCACTTCATTTCATTCTTTAATTAATCTAATATTATCATGTTTATTGATATAAAAGGATTTTCAGGAGTAATAATAAGTTAATTTACAGTATTTTTGTCCCTTGATTGACCTCCAGATACACTATATTCAAAAGCATAGTCAATCTGTATGACATCTATTGAAAGGACATTCAATGTATACAGTCATGTGCCACATGACATACTGGTCAACAACGGACCACAACTGTGGTTCCATAAGAATGATTTTATTTTTATAAGATTATCCATTATAAAATGGACCTGAAAAGTTTCTATCGACTAGTGACACTGGACCCATTATAACCTTGTAGGGCAACGCATCATTCACATTTTTGGTGATGCTGGTATAAACAAACCTACTACACTACTAGTCATATAAAAGTATAGGCACATGTACATGGTACAGCACATACAATTACATCCAGTACGTAACACTTGATAATGATAACTGTCACTGGCTTATAGATTTACTACACTAGACTTTTTATTGTACTCCATTTATAAAAAGTTTGTTGTAAAACGGTATGCCACATTACACTAACAGCAGCCTCATGCATCACGTTTACCAAGTCTCCCGATTGTATCATTTTATCTTGTGCTCAACTTAATCTCACGTTGTTTTATAAATTTAGTGTAGCCTAAGTGTACAATGTTTCTAAAGTCTACAGTAGTGTCCTTGGCCTTCACATTCCCTCACTTCTCACTCACTGACTCACCCAGAGCAACTTCCAATCCTGCAAGTTCCATTCATGGTAAGTGCCCTGTAGAGGTGTACTATTTTTTATCTTTTATATTTTTACTGTACCTTCTCTATGTTTCAATAAGTTTAAATACACAAATACTTACCATTGTGTTACAATTGCCTATAGTATTCAATATAATAACATTCTGTACAGGTTGTGGCCTAGGAGCAACAGGCTGTACCACGTAGCCTAGGTGTGTAGTAAGCCAGACCACCTGGGTTTGTGTAAGTACACTCTGTGATGTCTGCACAACAATGAATCATCTAAAGACACATTTCTCAGAACATATCCCCATCGTTAAGTGGCATATGACTGTATTTTTAGAAGATTAAATCCATATATTTTTAAAGTTCAAAAAGTTTTCTTTAACTATGAAATCACAAATACTTAAATAGAGGGTCAAAAGCTTTAAAAGCACTCAAATTTTCTAAAATGGCACTTAAAGTAATACATAAAAAGTAAACAGGACTTACTGAATAGTTTATGTTGTCAAGATCTGTTATTTTAAATGAACTCAGGCAATCTGAATTTAAGGAGTCCTTTAAAAGTAGCAGTACTTGTTCTGTCCCAGTTCCAATAAAGTCATCTATAAGTACTGAGCTAATTTTTTCCCACTTAGCAGCGATCTGAAAGAGTGGTTAAAGGAACAGAGAAGGAAAAAAATCAGATGTGAAATTAATTAAAATTTTTGTTGCATATAGTTTTAATTTGCTATCTTCAATCTTATAAACCAGTAATGAAAATGGTAGTATAAACACTAAAAACTAAAATATTGAGGGATCAGAAAACATGAGTTATAACTTTCTAAGTATCAAGGTACTTAAATTTTATATTTTATCAACATTTGTCCAGGGACTGTAATGTTGCTGATTTCTATATTAAAAATGTATTGTAATTTATAAATTCTAATTCTTCTCAAGACTATTTTGGAAATTCTAACATTTCTCATGAATAACTCTAGTGAAGGTTCTTTCTCTACCATGGTTAATTTAAGGATGACCCTCACTCCCATAAGCCTTGGTGGATATATACAGGGTAGGGTGAAAGTAGATTTACAGAATAACCTCTGTTTCGGTACTCACAACTGTAAATCTACTTTTGCCTCACCCTGTACTTATGAGCAAAGAATTCAGTTGTAATAGGTAACTAGAAGGTACCATGAGACACTTTAAGAGCTCTCAAAGAATAACCTTTAAGAGTCAAGATGACAAAAGGAGATTTGACTTTGGGTGGTACACAATTTGGGTGGGAATGCAGACTGGTGCAGCCACTATAGAAAATAATTTTTAAAATTTTTAAAAAGAATCAACATGGCCCTGGCCGATTTGCCTCAGTGGTTAGAGCATTGGCCCACGGAACAAAGGGTTTGGTTCCCAGTCAAGGGCATGTACCTGAGTTGCAGGTTTGATTCCAGGCCAAGGTTAGGGTTGTGCAGGACACAACCAATCGATGTGTCTCTCTCACATTGCTCTCTCTCTCTCTCTCCCTCCCTCCCTACCTTCCTCCTTTCCACTCTCTCTAAAAACAAAATCAATGAAAAAATATCCCAAGTGAGGATTAACAAAATAAAAAAGAGTGAAGATGAACTTAATACTCTAAACTCCGGTTGTGGAGAACATAGCCATTATCAGAGCCATGAAAGGGGAGGGATTCTAATAGTGGGGCATCTAGAATCATCCTAGCCTATTGGAATGATCTGACCAGTTTATACTAGAATGTGAGATCCCAAGTTTAAAATGGAAGATAACTTCTTAAAGGTCCATAAAGCTGAAAGCCTCTAGATTGGTCCCCTGGAAAACTAACATCATGGGGCTCAAATACCCCTTCTCCCTTAGACAGAAAAGCTAAAATTCCCATTCAGAATCCCAGGAGCACAGACACATATCTAGATATAGGAGGGTGGCTTGCAATAGTGCAAGAATGTAAATAAGACTCTTCAATCTATATAACCAAATATCAACCTTTCCCCTATAAGGCTAATTTCTAAAGGAGTGATTTTCCACTTATGCAGGGAAAGAACTTATTTGTAAACCCATGTCCTCTCTTCCTCATACCTCCCCATGAGTATCATGGAGTCCAACAACTCTACATAGAGCTGTGCACTCATACATGTAACTCATACATCTGCAGTCCACAGGTCTAGACTGTCATCCAAAATATAGGCCAGCCATAAATGCAAGGCACATATATAATTTTAAAATGTTCAAGACCCATTAAAATTCTCCAGTAGCAGTGAAAAGGAAAAGGTAAAAGTAACTTTATTATATTTTATTTAATCTAATATATCCAAAATACTATCATTTCAATTCAATATAATCAATAAAAAATGAGATATCTGACTTCCATTTTTTACTAACTCTCTGACATCTGGTATATATTTGACATTTCCAGCACATTCTAATTCAGACTAGCCATGTTTCAAATGTGGAATAACCACATGTGGCTAGTGGCTACAGCATCAGACAGAACACTTCTAGAAACAGGTATACTTGATAGTTATCTCAAGTTTGAAAAGTCTGCTACATAGAATCTTGCCAAAACCTCCAGACAATTTCTACTCAAGAGAGAAAGACTAAGTGAAAAGCCACTCTTATATTTCTCTAGACCCAGCTCTCTGTTTCAAGCCATCACTGGATAAAATATTACACCTTAACTTCTACTACTTATTCTAATTTATGCTTATCTGTATTTAAGCTATCTTTGTAAGCTGCCTTAATTCCTTTATGGAATGAAGTACCAAAAGGATGGTTTTAGGTGACCCCTGTGAAAGGGTCCTTTGACCCCCAAAGGGGTCACGACCCACAGGTTGAGAACCACTGTCTTACAGAGTACCGCAAACAGTAAATTCCTTTCTGAACTCAACGTTAGAAAATATTTTTTCCCTTGATAGTATACGTTCCATTTAATTGTAAAAGCTGCTGTATTTATTTGTTTTAACTGCTAAACTGAGTGCAATTGCTCATATGCAATTACTTCCCTTAACTCTCCTCCCCCTTTATTTGTAGATTCTTAGCATTTATTCCTGCTTATAAAGTAATAAAATATTTTATCCTAAACTATATCCAAAACTCCATGGTTACTGAGGCAATTTAGAAGCACTCAACTTGGCAGATATCAGGGAGTAACCCTGCAGCTTTCAATACAGGGCATTTGCAAACAGTTTATAAGTACACACTCCCTGTGGGGTAAGGCATTAGGGGCTCGGGGAAGTAACTTGTGGAAAGGATGGTGGTCTGTTGTAGAGAAAGAACCCTAGAACACAATTTCAAGGCAAGGAGGCCAACAGTTACAGTTAGAATTACAGGGAGTGACAGTCCCCTGTTCTGGGTAATGTGTTAGCACAGAGCTTTACACTGTCCAAGCAAGGCACCCACTTCAAGGGAGTTAGGACTATATTCCACTGAATAAATAAGGCACGTGGTAACTTATCCAGTTGAATAAGGGATCTTAGGTAGGTCCAAGTCATTGATGACCGCCCTGGCCCTTGTCTAACAATAATAGCTACCTCTTACTGAGATTCTCCTATGTGCCAAGCACTAGGCTAGATGTCATTTAATTTCATTCTCCCCCTCAGAGGCAGCATAATTTCAATTTCATACAGACAGAAAACGGGTTCACAAAAATGAAATACTTTCCTTAAGGTAAGACTAGCAAGTGGCTCAGTTGGGATTTAAACCCGGGTTAAGTGTGTTTTTTTCCATGACCCTGATCCCAGTAAAGGATTATGGGCTATATCAGATGTTTTCCCCCACCATTTCTTGAAAGGAAAAAAGTAGAAAAAGACAGAAAATATTACCTTCCAAATAACCTTCAAATAAAAGTACAATGTACTTTTAAAAAACTGCTTTCAAAATAAAACAGGATGGCTTTGAAATTATTTTCCTTTTGAGGATTTTAGTCCTCTATGTGTAATAGAGGTTGATTACAGTTATATAATCCCTATTACCATAAAGGTAATTTACAAAGCAAAGCCTGATAAAACACAATTTCAACCTGACATTTCTACATACACAAAGTAATGATTCACATAAAAAAATGCCTCTTACACTTTCTAAAATATTTCTCAATATTCTGTATCAAGATGATATATAGTGATAGAAATGTTAATTGAGCTTCTAATTAAATGGCTAGGCATTATTTCCAACTTAAAAGGTTGTATAATGTACTTAAAATATCACTTTTGTTTTATTTTCTTTTTAATTAATTAATTTATTTGTTACAGATGTCCCTTTTGTTTTCTCCATTGACACCCTCCACCCCAACCTTCACCACAGTCATCCACCAAAAAAAAAAAATTTTGGAAGAGACATTTCTGACAAGTAACGATTACTTATCTTGAACTATAAACATTCACATCACATAACTGAATGGGCTGATATATACCTAAAGCCAGGCGGATACAGTGTTACTAAAAATTCAGGGTCAGAGAAATATTATTGGTGCAGACACGCAGTTACAAACCTCCAACTTCCTATTCATTTCTGCACCTTTTTACCTGTTATTGAAAACTCAATACCAAACAGTATTTTAAAGCAATTTCCAAATCTTACATTAAAAGATACAAATACTGTAAATGTGGATAAAATGTGAATGCTTGCTAAGGACAACTCTGAGTTTCAAAATATAACATCATAAAATTCTCTAAGCAAGTTTTTAGAAAATGAACACTTATCACTGGTCTCTGAAGAACAATTATTTGTCTCTTAAGGGACAATGCCACATTTCAAGGAATTCCTCTAGATTTCAATTTAAGTTTAAACAGATGATTGTCAGCTTTGAAAAAGTTGAACTTGCCCAGCTGGTGTGGCTCGGTGGTTGAGCAATGACCCATGGACCAAGAGGTAGCTGGTTCGATTCCCACTCAGGACACATGCCCAGATTATGGGCTGAATTCTCACTGGGGGACATGCAGGAGGCAGCCAATTGATGTGTCTCTCTCATTGATGTTTCTCTCTCTCTCTCTCTCTCTCTCTCTCTCTTTCTCTCTCTCTCCCCCTTCCTTTCTCTAAAAATCAATAAAAACATATTAAAAAAAAAGAAAAAGTTGAAATTATCTGAGTTTTCTAAGAAAGCTTATAAAGTCAAATCACTTATAATCTTATTCTAAGTAAAAATATACATCCAATTATTATCACATCAATAAAAATTAGAGCTATCACATTAAAAGACAAATAAATATGTAATAATTGTAGTTATATATTTCCAAACAACTTAAAGGTTTCATGATTCAAAATGGCAAGGCAAAACCTTTATCAGGCCCTGGCCAGTTTGGCTCAGCAGTTAGAACATTGGACTGCAGAGCAAAGGGTCACGGGTTCGATTCCCGGGTAAGGGAACGTACCTGGGTTTTAGGTTTGATCCCTGGCCCCAGTTAGGGTTGTGCATGCAGGAGGCAGCCAATTGATGTGTCTCTCTCACATCGATGTTTTTTTCTCTCTCCCTCCCTCTCTATCTAAGAAAAACAATGGAAAAATATATTCAGGTAAGGATTAACAACAACAACAAAAAATACTTTATCAGGTAGTATTCCTATAACTCTAACAAAAAAAAGAGTAATATAACATATATGATTTTCTTTTCAGTGCAGCACTGAAAATTGATTTAGATAATAAGATTCCAGGATAAACTCTATGAAGTGTAGGAATGCTTACTAGGTCTAAGACTACACGAACATAAGGACTATGAGATTAAGTACTGTACCTGAAAGTTCTTTTCCCAAACAGCACAGGCACTGGACCTAAAGGATACAATGAAAAGGAGGTCTCTGCCTGAATCCATAAGTTGAACTGCACAAGGATCTCCAAATGGAAGCTGGCACATACTTTTAGGAGTCCCATTTTGGAATAAAATCAGCTGATTCTTTTGAGTAAGGGCAATCAGAGACATTCTCAGCTGGTTGTTGACAAACTCAGTTGCACAGACATGCACACAAGTTATCACACTGCTATAAGCAGGAGGGATAATGTATGCATCAGTTATTACTTCTTTATTTTCAAGGAAGTATACACAAAATCTGGTGTTCCAAAATGCATAATCTGATTTTGAAGACTTGGGGGTGTCTTCTTCCTCAGGTAAACAACATTGCTTTTGTCCTAATAAAACCATACCTAGATTTGCAATCTCCCCTGCCCACTCAATAGAGGAAAAGTTAACAGATACAGTAGCAACTTTGCCAGTTTGGGGAGAGATATAGAAGAATGTTTTAACATGATTCCATATAATTAAAGGGCCATCAAAGACCCTTATGTCATCTTTCAACTCGTGGCCTAGTCTAAAACTCAAACGCTTTTCAAATTTATTGGTACTCTGAAGAAATAGTAAAAAATATTTAAAAACATTATTCTTTTTGTTGCATTGTATCATAATGTAAGGGAGGTTCATTCCAGTTCTGAAATCTGACACACAGTTGCAACATATAATTTTTAAATAAGCATTTTCTTCCTTTATGCTAAAGAATCCAGTGGATTTCTGAACAAATGCACTTGTTTCTCTGTCAAATACCATTCTTCTGACATGTAATATGGGTATTTCTGCAGGCCCTTTATCTGCAAAATTTCCTTTAGACAACTGAAAAACAAGGACTTCGCCATTATAACACAAGACCCTTTCTTGTTCATTGGATGACATTGCTTGTTTGCTCCTCATTCCACAATATCAAGTCTTTGTGTTGGTTCAATTTTCTAATGCAAATTGATTCCATTCGATGCTTTTAAACCTAAAAATGAAATGAGAAAAACTGGTATCAAGAAGGCAGAGTTGAACAGAAAACATGTTTTTGTTAGAGAACTATTACCTTTGTTAGAGAACTATAAATTTTATTAAGTTAACCTTTCGCTTTTTATGCTATCTTAGCGTAACACTTCAAAAAACACATCCCAAGTATTATTTGTGTGCCGCCCTTCAAAAACACCGTTTGCAAAGAACTACATCACAAACAATAACAGAATGTGTTACTAGCAATGCTGTAGGGCTCACCCTGGCTGGTTTGGCTCAGCAGTCAAAAAACATCGGCCTGCAGACCAAAGGGTCTTGGGTTCAATTCCCAGTCAAGGGCACACATCTGGGTTGCAGGTTTGATTCCCCGCCCAGATCCAGGTCATGTGGGAGGCAACCTATTGATGAGTCTCTCTCACATTGATGTTTTGCTCTCTCCTTCTCTCCCTTCCACTCTCTCTAAAAATAAATAAATAAATGGAAAAATATTCTCGGGTGATGATTAATAAAACATAATAATAAATAAAAGCCTTAGGGCTCTAAAGTGACTACAGACATTCTTTCCGGCTCAGGGAATGTCTTAAGGGTTCCCCTTCAGTCTCTCTTTCAAACCTACTGACCTAATCTGGTTTCCCCATTTCCTTCACAATCACATTTCAGTCAGTTAACAATTCAAATTAGACTACTCCCATAGTGCAGGTGCATGGGTCCCTGCTTCCTGAGACAGGAGCTCCTACAGACTCTATGACAAAAATGAAAGCCTAACATGGCTTTAAAAAAAATCTCCACAGGAATAATAGAAATAAATCTTAAATCTTACTTTGTAAAAACAGTGCAGTTTGAAGACCTAAGTCACTATTCTTATCCAAAGTAGAAAAAAGAGAGGATTAAGAATATTATGAACATAAGAATTAAATAATAGCTATAAATTATTCATGCTTATTATATGCCAGGTACAATACACACATTATTTCATTTAATGCTAATGTTATCATCATAATTAGCTAGTTAATATTAATAAAGGAAGAGAGCAAAAGGGAGGCCAAATATCATAAGCATGGGCAGCTTCACAATTCCCAAGGAACCACTGTTACCTGCAGATCACTAGGGGAAGAGATCAAACAAAGGGGAAGATAGGCACATGTGCAGTAAAGTTGGGTGGCGTAAGAAAGATGCTTGCCTGTCAGTCTAGCTTGGGGAACAATGGATTGGCTAGGGGATGGACCCCCCTCAGAAAGGCAGGAAATCTTGAAAGGTGACAATCCCCAGACAAAGAGTTCCTTTTCTCTTGTCCTCTTGTTTGCCTTGTTCTTCTCTTGCTCCATAACCCACAGCAGCCCGTGGGCTCGCCTGCTCTCTCTCCATAGCCATGTGGCCTTAAGCAGCCTCATGGTCCATGACCATGTGGACCCCACACACAATGGACTGCAGCTGGGAACACAAACTAAGCTAGCCAGATGCTGGGCTGAACTGTATTTAATATGGAGCAGAAACTATGGGCAGTGGCCTTAATCCTGGCCCTGTTGAAGACAAGATTGGACTTCCGTGATGAGACAGACAGAGATGGGACTTCGGAGGAGAACCCCCTTAATTTTACATCATCAGTAAAGCTTTCCACAAAACCCCATCCTCCCGTGGGGAACTCAGGAAATTCTTTTCCTCACAGCACCTCAAGCACTCCATTTCCACCAATAACACAACTATTCTTTTAAAGTAAGTATTCTTATTATCTAATCTTTTAAACTAGAAAATCTTATTTTAACGAAGGACAAAAATTTTTACAAGGTTACAACGCTAATCAGCAATGGCACTAGATTTAGAGGAGGGGAACTCTAATTCTGGAATCTATACTTGTAACCACCACACTGTCCTGGCATGCATTCCCTTATCCTAAACACTGGTTGTATAATATTAATAATAAAAAAAAGGCAACTTGAGAGAATTAGTCAAGCAGAATAAAAAACAAAGGAACACACCCTGGCCGGTTTGGCTCAGGGGTTAGAGCGTCAGCCTGCAGTCCCGAGACCCAGGTTCGGTTCCCGCTAAGGGCATGTACCTCAGTTGCGGTTTGTCCCCGGCCCTGGTTGGGTGGTGCAGGTGGCAGCCACTCGATGTGTCCCTTTCACGTCGATGTTTCTCTCTCTTCCTCTCTTTCCCTCCCACTCTATCTGAACAAAAAAAATGGAAAAACGTCCTCGGGTGAGGATAAAAAACAAACAAACAAAAAACAAAGGAACACACCCCCACATTGAACATACATATAAGAAAAAGATGTTGATCTGTCTTTATTCACTGGCTCTATTTGCTGAGTCACTTCTGTAACGGTTACTGAACGCTTAGCTCATGCTAAGCAGAACTGCACACAGTTAGAAAAATCCATGAATACCGGGCTTGTCTTTTACTAGATGTATGACTTAAAGCAATTTACTTAACCCCTTTGTGCCTTACATCCACATCTATATAATAGAGTATAGTAATAGTATCTACCTCACAAAGTATTGGAATCAACTAATACAACCCACTTGAAATAGAACATGGCACAGAGAAAGTGCTCAATAAAGGTTATCTACTATCATTATCATCATCATCATGGCTGGCTCTGGTTTATATAATACCTAACCTTAGAAACATCATATACTTTAACGGTTTGTGAATAATGAAAGGTCCCTCTCTATTATAAATAATTCATATTCTCTATCTTTTCTACTACCTGTGGATCATTTACCCCAGGGAATTCAATTATTTCAGAAATAAATGAAAACTAGGTCATTTACACTTACATAATATTGTTTTCTTCTGTTAAATGAGAAGCAAACTCCAAAGGCTTAGGTTTTGCTCTTTAATTATAAATATCTATCAATAGTCCAATTAGTAAAAAAGTATCACTGGCCCTGGCCGGTTATCTCAGTGGTTAGAGCGTTGTCCTGCGGTCCAGAGAGACCCGGATTTGGTTCCTGTTAAGGGCGCGTACCTCGGTTGCAGTTTGTCCCCGGCCCTGGTAGGTCATGCAGGTGGCAGCCACTCGATGTGTCCTTTTTACATCAATGTTTCTCTCTCTTTTCCTCTCTCTCCCTCCCACTCTATCTGAACAAAAAATGGGAAAAAGTCCCCAGGTGAGGATAAAAAAAAAGTATCACTGAACCATAATCTAGAATTTTAATGTAGCTGCATTTTAGAGAAATGATTGATTTGGAGGAGATTCAACTTAAAAGCAGACTAGTCAGCATATGCTTTGAAACCTTACTGTCTAATTTTCAAATACATCACTTGAGATTTTAAAACATGTTCACAGAGTCTTTGACACTCATCAAGAAGTGGCACTTAATTCTCTCCTTAAGTGAGGTCTCGTCATTATGACTTGCTTCTAGCCAACAGAATGTGGCAGAAGTGACAGTGTATGACTTACCAGATTGGGTCATAGAGTACATGGCTACCTTGACGACCTCTTCCTTGGATCACCTGCACTGGGAAAAGCCACCTGCCATATCATAAACACACTCAAGAAACTCCATGGAGATGCGCAAAGGCAAGGAACTATGGCTTCCTGCCAAAACACAGCCAAGGACTGAGGACTTTTGCCAATAGATGTGAGTGAGCCTTCTTGGGGTCAGATCCTCCAGCTCCAGTCAAGCCTTTAGTTAACTCAGCCCCTTGGAGAGATCTTGTGCCAGAACCATCCAGCTAAAGTGTTCCCAAATTCCTAATTCTCAGAAATTTTGAGATTATAAGTGTTTGTGGCTTTAAACTACTAAATTTGGGAGTAATTTGTTATGTAGCTAAAACAAAAATAACTTCTATATAGAAAAGGATTTTGTTATTTTAATATTAAATGTCACAAATAATGTTTAATCAACATAGTGCTCTGACTCACTAATATCCGAGTATGATAGGAGGAAGGTGAATCTGACAGCTAAAAAGTCAGTAGAATCTCCCCCTTTATTAAATTTTAGAGTACGTATTGTCATACCCTGACAAAGTGATGACAGGAAAATCAGGCCCCTTACATTCTGTTCTTTTAATGTGATATATCACCAAGTTCCTTAACTTAAAAATCTGTATCTTCAAACTCTCTGTTCCAACTGCCACTAGGATAGTTCAGACTTTCATCTCTCACTTAGGCTGAGATAAAAGCTCCTTAATTGGTCTTCCTTACTTTAGTTTCTCCCCACTCCAATATATCAATTTATTTAGCTATCTCAGTTATTGTTCTAAAACACAAAATTTTATCTGATAACTGCCTCCTAATTTTAAAACCTTGCACGCACACCCATGCCCTTCTCAATAGATCCATGATCCTTGAATGACTACCTGGAAAGGTAGATGCTAAACACTGTGCATTGAACATATAGAGATAAAATGTTGCGAACCACTGTTATAAAGTTCAGTGTGGTGTTCAAAGCCCTGTTATAATCCTAAACCAACATTCATTGAGCATGAGCTCTAAGCAAAAACCAAATTTACTCTCATGGCCTTAGACTCAAATAGCTTTAAAAACATAAATGACTGTTATATAACCGGTCATTATTTTTTATTTTTTAAATACAATTGTGAAAACATGCATATTTTCAATGATATTAAAATGGGCCACCTTCAGAGTTAAAATTAGAAGTTACTAATATATTAATGTATTTATGAAGACAAATTTTTCCTCAAACTTTCTCTAATCTCAAGGCCTATTAAATTCACATATATGTGTATATCTATTTCATTTTATACTAATGTAACATATACTTTAAGAGTAAAAGCTCTTAGCTTATGTTCATAAAATAAACTTTAAACCTATGGAATAGATTTTCTTTTTTTGGATAGAAATAATCTGGAAACAAGTGAAACTAAGGTTCAATTTAGAGGTTCTTAAATCAATATAAATAAGCCCTGATTAATCAAATCCTGATTATCATATTCCAGCCTATTGGTCATTTGATTGTTTACTTAGTACCCTTAAAACAATGGCTGCAGAAAAAAGAAACATATAACTCAAACCAGTTAAATTTTACCTCT